TATGCATACTAAATAAATAAATAAATAAATAAATAAATAATAAAGAAAATCTTGGCATATATCAACTGTATAAACATTCCAATATACACCTGAAACCGCCCATCACGTACAACAGCAGCAGCAGCAGCAGCACCGCAGCAGCAGCAGCAGCAGCAGCAGCAGCAGCAGCAGGAGTAACTGTGGTGTATATACACCTGAATGTTTAGTATTTTCAATAAGAATAGTTTTACAAAGTTGATGAACAGAAAGAGCACCAATAAGAGGTAATCTTTCTTGTATATTATTAACATTATAATATATATTATTATCTACACGTATTATATTATATATACATTTATGTACTCCTTCTTTTCCTGCTGCTGTTGCTCCGGTTGCTGCTCCTGCTGCTGCTGCTGCTGCTGTGTCTGCTGATGCTTCTAATGATTCTGTTGATGTATCTGTTGATGTATCTGTTGCTGTTGTTGTTGTTGTTGTTGCTGCTGTTGCTGCTTCTGCTGCTGTTGTTGCTGCTTCTGCTGCTGTTGTTGCTGCTTCTGCTGCTGCTGTTGCTGCTGCTGTTGCTGCTGTTTCTTCTGTGTCTTCAAGCATAGGATGCTCTTTCCTAGCTGCTGCTATAATATCTCTTGCTGCTGCTATTGCTGCTAATCCTGCTGCAGGATCAGCAGCAAGAGCAGCAGCATCAGCAGCAAAAAAAGCATGCATTGCTTTTTCTTTTTCCTCTGAATGTTTTCTTTCTTCTTCTTCTTTCTTTCTTCTTTCTTCTTCATCTAAACCCTCATCATTATTATTTCCTTCTTCTCTTTTATCTGCAGCACCAGCAGCAGCAGCAGCAGTAGCTGCTGATGCTGCTGATGCTGCACCTAAACCCTCACGCTCTCCAACATCTGTTGATGCAGCAGCAACACCAACAACTTGCTCTCCTTTACACGATCCTAAAGACCCCTGGGGGGACCCCTGAGGGCCTCCCCCTGTAGGGGCCCCTTGGGGGGCCCCCTGGGGGGCCCCCTGTGGGGGTTCTGAGGTTGTAGGTACTGGTGCTTCCGTCATTATTGTCATTAGATGAGGCTGTGGGGAGTTAATGAGCGCATTTGGAGTTATTTAAATAGAAAAAGAAATTAAAAAAAAAGAAAAAACGAAGAAAAAAAGAAGAAAAAACACTAAAAGAATTGGTGCTGTGATTTGCGGTGTACGTACACCGCAACCTTCGCGGTACAGGGGTAGCAAAAGAAGGCGGAAGGAAGAGAGGAAAACGGAAGGAAAAGTGCACTTAAATTGATTATTAATAATGCACTAAATATAAAGAGTAAAATAAAAAGAAGATAAAACAGTAAAAAAGAAAAAATGGCGGGAGAACAAGGCAAACAACAACTTTTCTTCTTCTTTTATAGTGGCTGGTGCATGCATGCAGAGACGTACAAAAGGGTACTATTGGGGCTTTTCTTGTCGTCGTTTAATTTAAATTTAAAGAAAAATAAACAAATAAAAATAAATGATAAAAATAAATTTATGATTTCCCTCCTTGGAGGTCTTTTATTTCAGGTGTATAGGCAGCTCTGTCTGCGGTGGTGATGCTGCGGTGTCATCATGATTACGTAATAATAATATAAATAAATAAATAAATAAATATGTTTATTTTATTTTTATTTTATTTCTAATTAATTTAATTTAATTTAATTTATTTCTTCTTTTTTACCGCAATAAAAAGGTTTATATCTTTTTCCTTCTTTATTCTACTGTATGACGACTACACGTGTGTAACACGGCAGCAGCAGCAGCAGCAACAGCAGCAGCAACAACAGCAGCAGCAACAGCAGCAGCAGCAGCAGGGCCTGTTAAGTTTCCTCATTTTTATGCAGAAATTTTCCGCACTTGTTGAATGACCAGCAATGCTGCTGTGTGAGTCTTCTTAGGGTTTGCACATTAAAGCTGTGTTGCGTGTTTAGGGTTTAGGGTTTAGGGTTTAGGGTTTAGGGTTTAGGGTTTACGATCTAGCTGCAGACGCTCTACAGCTTGTTTGCTTACACCTGTTGCTTGAGCTCCCCCAAATCCTTCAGTGGTTGTTCTGTGGTTTAGGGTTTAGGGTTTAGGGTTTAGGGTTTGTGCGTGTGTATAGGGATTTTGGTTGTTGGAGCCCTCTGGGGTGTAACGACACCTCTGCTGCGTCTAGAAGGCCAAAATGAGCAGCAGCAGCAGCAGCAGCAGCAACAGCAGCAGCAGCAGCAGGAGCAGCAAAAGACACACTTTAAGAAACCTTTTTTGCTGCAGCTCTTTAGCCGCTGGCGAGTGGGTTACAAACCCTAAACCCTAAACCCTAAACCCTAGAAAATAGCAAACCCTCACGAGACCAATGGGTACCCGTACATAGATTTTTTTGCAGTTGCGTCTATAAGATCTAAATACCGTCTAGGGTTTAGGGTTTAGGGTTTAGGGTTTTGTGTCCTCTGCGTAGTTTACCCTTTTTTATCTTCTTAATCAATTAGGCTCATTGGTGTTTTATAACTTATTAGGTAGCCACGGTAAGTCATTGCCCCTTGGCTAGCTGCAGCAAAGAACAGCTAGCTAGCTAGCTAGCTAGCTAGCTGGGCAGCTAGCTAGCTCGGTGGCTAGCTAGGTATATTGGCCATTTTACTTATTTGCTAGTTTATTAAATAAATAAATTAAATTAATTAATTAATTAATTAATTTATTTATTTATTTATTTATTTATTTATTTATTTATTTATTTATTTATTTATTTATTTGTGTATACAGATTTAGTATTAGTT